TTGTACGGGGTCACCTCTCCTTTGGGGATGCAGGATGGTCCCAGCATGCTAGAACATTAGAAATTCCTCTTGCATTTCCACGTGGTTCACTCAGGGGGTCTCCAGTAAACTAAGGCTCTGCTCGCTAGAGTCTTACACCAGGATGCAGCTATAGTTGCCTTGGTTACTGACTCCCACGCTGTGGTCACACAACTGTGCCAGAGTTAAGACCAGTGTGTACTAAGAAGGGCACTCAGATTGGGAGTAGGGGTGGGGGTGGGGGAGAAGTCCATTTGCCAATTTCTAGGATGTAAACACTTCTTTCATGGGCAATTTTCTGGTACTAATGACATCGGTGAACTTGAGACTAGGAAGAATGAATAGGATCACATGATCATTTGTCATTCATATTTCTACCACAAACATGTCAGCCATAACGAAAAAGGAAACATTAAAATGCACATATTAGGAAGTAGGCTTGTAACTACATATCTCTTGTCTTCCACGTAATCAATCTACACTTACATAACTTTAGTTTTAACAGTGGCTGCACTTAACAGCTGCTAGCAAATTCCCTACAAGTCAGAACAGTTGGTCCCTGTAAGTCCCGATGAGCCACTTCAAATACATGGCTCACTGGAAAAGAAGAAAAACATGGCTGCCATATGGTAGCCAAGAGTCCAACGTCAAGGCCTAGAAAAGCCTCTCAGGGGCATCCAGGGATGTGGGGGAAGAACTGCATGAGTGACCAAGGTCTGGAAGTTGTCATTTGTTGTGGCTGTTTTGGGATCATAAGCAGCAACTAGAGGCTGGGTCAGTGGGTGTGAAGAGTATGCTGAACGTTGCCATCATATGTGGTTCTCCATATGGAAAGAACATTCCTCTTCCCAAACAAGAACCCGACCTTTCCCAGAGATGCTCACCAGGCAGTGTCTGGAAGAATTCCTGCCTTGCTTGGCTCCTTTCTCCATCCCACAGAGAGAGTCCTGTTATAAAAGCAACCTGGAATCCAACCCTCTTGCCTCTCTCCCATGTTTCACTTTTGGGCTCAACCTTGGAGCAGAAGCAATGGAAAAGATGGCCAGTTTGGCTCTGAGGAAAGGGGGAGGGTCTACATAAGAGTCACATGCCAGAGCACAGTGTGGAACCAAACAGGCCAAAGCCCCACCCCCCCCAAAAGAAAGGGCTATAGAATCTATCTGCATGATGGCACAGTGTGAGCACAATTAGTTGTTGTCAAAGTATTTTGCTGGCTGCATTCATCTCTTACGTGGGAGAATAAAACTGTCATAACGATGACAATTTTTTTCAATATTGGTGCAATTACCAAGCCTAAAAATAGGGAGCAAAGGGAGTAGTTTTCTTGAGTCTGAGCTGTTACCCCCGTTGCACGGCTGGAACAGGGACTCCCCCACCCCACCGTCAGGAAGGGGAGAGGACAGGAAGAAAGCTGAGACTTGATGAACATTGCTCTGTGTGCCTATTAGGCACAACTAGGTTTGTTCCCCTCCACCCCCACTCCAGGACATAAGCATCTGGCACAGAGGAGGGAGGAGCAGTGGAGGGAGACCAGGAATGAGATTTCCTGGGACAAGACTGTAGAGCCAGGCTCTCTGCTATGAGCTCCCTAGACACGGTTGACTTGTCACAGCTGTGGGAGATGGTACGCACCTCATGTGACAGCTGAGAAGCAGTCTCAGAAAAGGTGAAGCACCACAAGGTTCTCCAGCTCCAGACTTTCTAATTGCAGCCCCCCCACCCCAGGTCGCTCGCTGTGAGTCATGAGAGGCCTGCTGCTCAGCCCCTGACCTGTCCATAATCACTCCATTCCCTCTTTTTTTTTTTCTTCACATCCCGTTGCCCTCCCTGCCTTGCATTGCTCTTTTGAGAATACAGAAACATCAAGGTCCCAGAAGCAGAAAGACTCAGGCTGGCAACTTGGCAAGTGTAACTTTGGCTTGGGTCCTTGACCTCTGTAGGGTTTGTATCAAAGTGTTCAACTACAGTTTAAAGACAGTCATAGTACCGCTTCATTGTGTCACTGTGAGGATTGAATGTGGTGTGTATCGGTTGAGTGCTTGGCAGGAAGCAGAGCACTGGGTAGCGTGTAGAGAGCAGGGCACAGCTCCCTATGTAGAGTCCTCACTGTTACCAGGCACGGCAGACATAACATCACACCATCTTTGTAGCAAGCTGGGCCAGAGCCTGTCATTCTTCTTTTAACCTTAGCAAAGGGAAACATGACCTCGTGACTCTGCACCATTCAGGTTACACGCAGCACAGACACACAGGGCCACAGCAGGGGGATGGGGCCCATACTCCAGACCAGTACTGGCACATGCTAGGCCCCTAAAGTACCCTGACCTATGCTTGGTGTTAGTAATCTGTCTAAACTCCACCTCCACAGTCACCTGTGATCTGTTACAAGCTGCGCGTGAAAACCTTTCACTTGGTACATAGGTCCTAACTTGCTCAACAAAAACACTTCCTTTGTTTTCTTGATGCTCTTGGGCATTTCTCCTACCTTGTTCCTGCTGTCCTTCCATGAGCCACACAATGAAAGAACATTAGCCAAGCAAGCAAAATCCTGTGGGAAGAGGTCCAGCTGTATGGTTTTAAAGCCCCGCCTTGGACCAGCTGTGCTCATCTGCAAGCGCTTCTCTCATTGACCGTGGCACCTCGCACACACCTGCGTTCTGCCAAGAGCCCCGTCTTGCTTATTTTTACCATCAGGAAAATGAGCTGCTCCTAGGGCACGGAGGATTTGTTCTAATTCCTATGAGATCACTGGACTCATTTTTCAATCACAGCTGATGGCGAGGAAAAGTTTTGAATGTTTTTCTTTCATAAAGGTAGGACCTGCCAAGAGACATCAGCAGTTCTTAAGGATTTCAAAGGACTAAGGGAAGAATCTCACACACACACACATCCCCCTTAAAGAAATCCATGCCCCCAAGCACTTCCTCTAAAGCTCTCTGCTTTAAAATCTTTTCTCATAAAAAGTCAAGGCTTATGGTGGCGACAGAAAGGGCATGTTCTCTTAAAGTCAGACACCAGGTTCATAGGCAGGTCTTGTAAACTCTCCCACTTTAAAACAGAAACCAACAGGACCTTGTGAAGGGTTCAATGTGCTAGGAAAGTGGTTTATAAAATGCAAAGCCCTGTAGAATTCTCTGGGACCATTTACTGCTAAGGGATGATTTTCAATTGATCACTCAGAAAGTTGGGACGCCACACAGACCTCCTTCGTAGGTTTGAATTTCCCAATTCCACATTAACAGTCTCTGATATTGGTGTCTCCTGTCAAAAGCTACGTTAAGCCCTTTTGGAAGAGGGTGAAATATAAAACAGACTCCTGATGAGAGGAAAGAAGACCCCTTCCTTACTTTGGAAGATAGTGATCAAGTTAGCTTTGCACCTGACACCCAGACCCCACCTTTTGTTGATGTAACTAGCCATCCCTGGGAGTGGTACCCAGCTGAGGCTATGCAGCCTCCACAAGTTACTGGGAAGTAGCAAGAGCTCCTGCCAAGGGAAAGCATTCTCCCAGACACCCCTGCAAAGGCTGTGGTTTATACACTTGGTCCCTCGGGAAAGTAGCGTTTTGTTTTTCTTCTTTCTTGAAATTTTTTTCTCCCGATTTTGTTTTCTGTAGAATTTTTTTTTTAGAAACACTGTTTCTTTTTGAAACTGCTTTTCTACCTACTAATTTGCCAACCATATGGATACACATGCAGCCCTGGGATGGGTTGAAATTGGTGAGGTGAGCCACTGAAGTTGTTGCTGTATTTTAAACATAGCACACAATGTGTTACACAAACACCATTCAAAAACCTGAGTCACAGAATTCAGATGGGAGCTGGTACATGTGTACCATGTTTGTGTGTGTGTGTGTGTGTGTGTGTGTGTGTGTGTGTGTAATGGTAGAAAGCAAGGAAGTTTGAGGAACCAGGTTAAAATCATTGTGCCCAATTTAAGCATCATTAAAACATAGCCTTATATTTACACAGGTCCTACAACTCCCACCCAGAAAAGGAGCAAAAGCCAAGAGGAAAATTCGAATTAACCAGATGTCCTCACATCGAACTGAACAGCACAAAGGCTGTGAAGCATCAATAGAAGTGATAATTGTGTTTGTTGTCTCACTTCCTTGCCGTCCATACCCACATAGAGAGCAGCTCTCTGTCTCTGGGCTGCACACTGTTTTGAGGTGGTTTTGTTTTGTTTGTTTTGTTTGTTTTATTTTGTTTTATTTTGTTTGGCCTTTGGCTCATGCCGGCCAGCTGACTGGCGTGTAATGACTGATGAATTTTTGGTACAGTGGCAGAATACATCTTGGGACAGTGAAGAACTCACACCTGGGACAGGTTGCAAACATTTTTAGAAATCCATTTTCTCCCCTCCCCAGTTCACATTAGACAGAACTTGCTGCTGACATGCTGCCCACACCCAGCTCAGAAAGCCACCACTCAGGCTCCTGGACATAGAGAAAGCATAAAAGTGGATGTGAGAGGTGGCTCAGGGCAGTCCCCACAGCTTTTAGCCTTGCACTGCGCAAAGCATGTGGCCACAACTCTGGAAAAAATATGACAAGAGTCTTGGGCAGCCCATGGTGTCCTTATGGGTCTCAGCCATCCCTGAAGATCTCCCTGAGCCATTCTGCCACTTTCCAGCTTCTGGCCTCATTTCTACTACCCAGATGAGCTCTCCATGTGAACTTTCATGGTTCTGCTACTCAGCGAAGTGGATGACGTAAGTAATAACCGAATCTCCAGAGGTTGAATGTTTCATCAGCTACAAACTGGCACCGCCATGCGCAGAGGGGCTCTGCAACCCCTGCAGGAGGTGAAAAGCAAAAGAAGAAACACACAAGTGGGTAGCATGGCCCTGTATGCTGTGTGACTCCCATTCTGTCCATTCAGTCTCTGCCAGCTGGGTCTCTTCGTCATCCCTGACTGGTGCTCCTCCAGCCACAGCAGCAGTGGTTCCCAGCCTCAGCCTCTCCATCAGCAGGGTCTGAGTTAGGAGCTCACTAAGGTGTAAATCATGCTGAATGCAAAAAAGAATAGGAAAACAGATGTCAGCAGAAGCCTGTGGTTCTCAACAGCCCCCTTCCAAGGCTGGAGCCTATGGATTCATCTCATTCCTGTCTCTGTGGTCTCCAATTCACCTACAAAGGCTTTGCTACAGCCCACAATACAGAAATGAATGTCTATTAGGATGGAATCCTATGGGCCCCATGAAAGGTAGGTTGCCTCTGGATGCTTATGAGAACACTCATTGGGATGATCACCGTGGTTCATCACTTTTACTGTAATTATAGACCAGGTGCCTATGGGGTAAGAGTCTTCATACCACCATCTGCAGACACATGCTTACATAGTGGCTGCATCCCTACCATCCCACCACCCCCACCTCATGATGCTATATGATATGTCAGTTCCAAGGGTCAAGATGAAGATCATTGCCACTGATACCAGTGGAGGTGCATGAACATGGTCCTTGGGGCAAATGACATAAGTAAATCTTAACTGGGCATAGGTCTCCAAACCTCCTGCTTTAGGGGATTAGTAGTGACCAAGTAGAGGGACCTGCATTCCCGTGGCCTGACAAGGACTTCAGGCTAATTCTTCAAGGCTGACAAGTTGACCAGAACTACGATCTACTACTTTGTCTATTTAGAAGAAGAAACAAATTTTTTGACATTAGAGACCCCACCCCTGACTCCAAGGTGTCTAGGGAGCAAAACCAAATAAAAGAACCTGGACTATTTCCCTTCTAGCCCTAAAAAGCTGGGAAGCCAGTGAGCCCCTCTAAGATCTGGAGTCCCCTTTCTAGAGGCAGACACAGCAGACATGCCCAGGACCCATTGCGTAGGTCTGGAGCTAGACAAATGGATTCTCACTGTACAGCTCATGACAGATCAACCACATTTTAACTCCAAAGCCAGTCCTCTGTCCATTGTGGACAGCCTAATTGTAGATAACTATGGTGGTTTGACAAAGCCTTACCAACCAAAGACAGAAATACATTTCCTTTGATAATGCATATTCCATGACAGGTAAAGAAGGCATTCTTGTCAGAACAATCTAAGACAGGCTCAGTCTTGTTAACAAAACAAAAAAGGGGGTGAGGTGGGAGTCTTTGGGGCTGCTTGGCAAGAAGCTGACATGGGCCAAGGACAAGGAAATGGGCTGATTGGCACGAATATGACATTGACCAAGGACAAAGAAGTAGACTTCAAGCAGGAATCTAACATTAGACTAGAACAAAGAAGTAATTTCAGGTAGGAGTCTAAATTGTAGGCTACAACAAAAGAAGTAATCTCAGGGAGGAATCTAAATATTAGGCCAGAACAATGAAATAATTTCAGAAAGGAATCTAAATTTTAGGCTAGAACAAGGATGTAGGCTTCAGACATGAAAATGACCTCAGGCTAGGATAGGGAAGTAGGCTCAGAGACTTTGGTCATCCTGATGAGCCTTTTAGAAACAGTGATCATGGAGTGTTCATGTACCTGGGTTTAATGGCTTGTTTTTTCTTTGACTATTTGTGTTTTATTGTATTGCTTGTTCCTCGACTATCTGTGTCTATTGTATTGCTAGACCCTCAACCTAGAACTGACCTTAATACATGCATGTAATCAAAATGGTATAAAAGCATAAAGGAAGAAGGGGTATAGGATAGGGGGTTCTAGGGAGGGGAAATAGGGAAAGGGGATGACAGGAAAAAAAAAACTATGGTGGTTTGAATATGCTTGGCCCAGGGAGAAGCAGTATTAGGAGATGTGGCCTTGTTGGGGGAGGTGTGGCCTTGTTGGAGGAAGTGTGTCACTGAGGGGATGGGAAAAGAGCTTCCCCCTAGCTGCCTAAAGATGCCAGTCTTCTCCTGTTTGCCTTTGGAACAAGATGTAGAACTCTCAGCTCCTCCCACACCATGCCTGCCTGGATGCTGCCATGTTTCCCACTATGATAATGGAATGAACCTCAGAACCTGTAAGCCAGCCTCAATTAAATGTTATTTTTTATAAGAGTTGCCTTGGTTATGGTGTCTGTTCACAGTAATGGAAACTCTAAGATAATAACTCTGTCTAACTCACTGTGATTCTTTTATTTCATACTAATTGAATACTTACTATGTACCAAGCACACTTCTCAGTACAGGGAAATAAAGGTGAATGTGTGGACTGAGCCCTGGCCAAGCTGTGACAGCAAACACCATGGATGCCTACTATGTGCTGTGCAGGGCACTGCCGAGATAGAGTTGCAGGAAACAGATGAGTTCTCTGCAGCCTAGAGAGGAGCAACCCAGAAAAGACAAAACAATATAGACTAAGGAGAAACAGACGAGGAGAGACCAGTGTGTCCTAAAGTAATGGACAACAGGATGCGGTGATGCAGCATCACTGAATAACGTGGGCCAGGGTCACATGCACAACCCTTCTAACCAGGCCTGGTGGCACAAGCTTGTGACCCCGTAGATGAGGCAGAAGGTTCAGGTTTAAGGGTGGCCCAGGCAATTCAGCAAAACTAGGTCTCAAAATCAGAAGTAGAAAAGAGCTTAGGGCATATGACACAGTGGTAGATTGCTTGTCTAACATGGATGGGGTTTTAGGTTTGCTCTCCAGGACAAGGAAAGCGGACAGAAGAGAGGAGGGAGGGGTAGGGAAGGGTACGGAAGAAGAGAGAAGGGAAAGAAAGGGAAGAGGAGGGAAGGGGAAGGGAGGGGAGGGGAGGGGAGGGGAGGGGAGGGGAGGGGAGGGGAGGGGAGGAGAATAGGAAGAATATAGAAAACAGCTAAGAGAAAAAGGAAACAAAGGAAAGGAGTATGGAAAGTGGAAGGAGAAAGAGAAAAAGAAAAGAAAAAGGGTCCTTCTACCGAGTAGACAAACTGTCCACCCTGGACTCACTCACCAGTGTCACACCCCTGTCACATACAACCCATAAACGTCACCTGCACCACAACACATTCTGAGACGGAGACCATGGTGAGAGCCATGTGATTATTGCAGAGCAGCAGAACTCCAGTCTCCAGTGCTACACACACAGCTCAGAGGCTGCTCTGCAGGCGTGAAACTCCCTTCCTTAACAAAGCCAGGCTAATGGTCTGCACTCTCTGGGTCTGGGTTTGGGAAAGCTGAGGTAGCAGAAGCAGAGTCTTCCAGGAGACACAAGAGGCACACTGATGTTGGGTTCCATGAAGCATGCAAGCACACTGAGCTGGTGTGTGGGCTGCAGCAAGCTCAGGAGTGCTGTGTATAACCTGGCTTGAAGACAATGTTATGTGTATGTTATGAATGCCATGGCAAACTGCAGCTGAAACTAGAAGACAGAAAGTTCAATGGACTACAGGGAACTTAGTTATAGAATGACCATTCCCAGCTAAGGGCCTGGAGCCTCCAACATTGACTGTGTTATCACTCTTACTCTATGGCCTGGTGTTTGGCTCAACAGCTCAAACCCAAAAGGAAGGGTCCTGTTTCAGTTTCCCAAACTAAGTTGGATCACAGAATAGTGGACCAGGAGCCAGGGAAGGCCTAGCCATGTTCTACTGGTTTTAAAGAGAGGTGCTGCTGTCTGGGGACAGGCCACTCAGCCTGTCTTCAGGAGGCCTGTAGCCTAATGGAGAAAGTGAGGCTGTGTTCACTCCAAAGAGGAAACTCTGTAGGGATGTGGAGGCCAACCTTGTGAAGGAAAAGTGAGATGGAGAACCAGGCACAACAGGCTCCTGCAACTCTTTGACGAGTCCTGACCTGCCATACACGACAACATTAGATCTAAGACATTCACTGAGGCCAGGGCAGTGACTGCTCCCCCTGTTGATTCAGAAGTCCTAACAGGTGACAATGATTACAAACACACCCAAACCCTCTGAGTAACCAAGGTTTTCACTGGGGCACAGTGAAGATATGGTGAGATACAAGTGGCTGAGGATTTAGGGGCTTGGGATTGGCTCAAACACTGTATTTAAGTTTATGCGCTGAGCAATAAACTCAGATCTCTACATGATGCTGGTCTCTGGAGTCTGACTCCCTGGATTCTTCATGAGGCTCCATTGCTCTGTAACACCATCCTCTATCCTGTTCCTACAAAACTTGAAAACTCTACAAGGAGTGGCCCCTGCCTTCAAACAGCCTTTTCTCACCCTCTGCACCCTCCTGGGAGAGCAGCCATCTTAAGGCTGCTAAAGCCTTAAGCCAAAAAGACTGGAGTGAACTACTGAACACCTCAGTTTCTCCAAGGAGCATCTTACAGCTTCTTAGTCTTCTACACTTAGAGCAGGAAGCATCCAGACCATTCATGAAGGATAAAACTCTGATGTTGGAATAACCCTTGACTTCATGAAGAAAGCACTAGAATAATTCTGTGATCCCCCAACACCTCACAGTTGAGGTGAATCATGAAGCTACTCAAGGCAAGTGTAAGAATCTGGACAATTGATCTATTCCTACTGTAATCAGCCATGTGTCTCTAGTCCCTGGCCCTTGCTTTAATAGACTTGTCTAGGCGTTCTGTATGCAGTTTGAAGTTCAGTCTTTGAAGAATATTTGGTGTGACTATTAGTTGTGACCTTGGGAAATGTTTCGACCTTCACAGATTTAGGTTCCTCAATTTAAATATGTGTGCAAGGGTAGAATTTATCTCACAAATCTGGCAATGCATACAGAGTTTGGTTTTGAATGTTCAGCAATGTAACCACCTTCCTGCCTGATACCCAGTCTGAACCCAGGGATGGGTGAAAAGTTAGCACCTCCAACCTTTCCTTGCCTCTGCAGAGACAGCACTGGGGTGTCTGAGGACATGTGTGACCCTGCAAAGATAGGGACAGGAGAGCAAGGTGACCAGGAAAAGCCCCCAGTAATGAGCACAAAAAGGATCCGGAGACATTTCCAGAACAAGCAGCTCCAGATTACAGACCGAAGGATGACAGCTCACAGCAGTCTGCTGAGCAAGGGTGTTCAAGTGACAAGGTGAAGAGAGGGACCCGGAATCAAAGTTGCAAAGTCGGCTGGATTTGCTCAATTAGGATGGTGTTACGAAACATAGAGGAATTGCAGCATAAGCACTTAATGACCCACTGTGCCTCTCTGTGGGGTATGACTGCCACTGTGGTGGCATAAAGGCCACTAGTGTGGTACCCAAGACTCTTCACAAACAGGCTGAGGGCAAGGGGTAATGATCCTGGGCCCCTCCGTTCATTGGCACCCTGATGAGAGGAGCTACTGAGTTCTGAAGGGCTGGAAGCCCTACTAGTTAGAAGCCTGTGACCATCCCTCAGCTGCCTCCTAAGAGATGTTATTAGATGTTTCCTGAGTTGCAAAGGATGTGCACAAAGGCATCTTTCTTTCCCAGAAACTCTTGCTCCCAAGTCAGGGTCAGACAACTGGCATCAGACTCAATTAGCCATGTTCTGTCATAGATCACCTCCCAAAAAGCTATCTCCCGAGGCCAGCCTCAAATCCCCTTCTTCTTGCCACTGAAGTTAAAGCCAGAGGGAGAGTGGGACTCACCAGTACAAGTAGTAGAAGAATGAGAGGAGGTAGAAGGCCAGCTTACACCAGGCCTCCTTCTGGCAGTAGCTCAAGGTGTCGGCATTCATGACAACTGGTGGGTCGTAGGCTAGCTCTGAGCTATCTGCTGGACAGTGGAAATACCTGCAGGGGAAAGGACATGATAGCATTGTCTCTGAGGCTCAGGGCTCCCCATGTTGTCAGGCAGAGGCCCCCTGAAGATCCATGCCTCCTGCCTAACTTAGATTCCAACCATTGCTAGAGTACAACTCGGCTACAACCTTTCAGCAAGTGTTTAAGTCTTCCAGCAGATTCATGGTATCATATAAAGGTGCTGATAGAAGAGAACATGTCACCCAGGATTACGGTTTGAATGTGAACTCTTCCCTATAGGCTTGTGTGTACATGCACGTGGTGCCAAGCTAGGAGCCCTGTCTGGGGAGGTTATGGAACCTTCAGCAGGTAAGGACTCACGGGAGGAAGTGAGGAAAGTTATAGGGCAGCCCTGCTTCTTGTCCCAGATCTCTGCTTCCATCAACCAAGATGTAACAACACTGAGTTCCTGCTACCACAAACAAAGCCCCAGCCACCATGCCTTCTCCACCACAGTGGGATGTACTCCTTTCAACTATGAGTCAAAATAATTCCTTCCTGCTTGAGTTGATTCTGATAGCCTGATATCTCCCGAAAGACACCAAGAGCTCCCTTTGGGTGTAGGCATATATGGAAGAGTTGTATGACTACCTTCTCCATGTCTATATTCTGAACACTAAGTGCCCACTACCCAGACTTTCATTTAAACTCCAGAATACCATAGACAGACATTGTAGAGTCATTTTCAGGGACATGGGTTGTTGTTGTTTATTTGTTTGATTGATTTATTGAGGGGCCCAGAAGAACAAACAGAACATTGGCCATCTTTGGGGAAGCTGGAGAAAAGAACTGTGGGAGATGAGTCTTTATTAACGTCTACAGCCACATCAACTCCACAAATGCTGCCCAAGGCCAGCATGAGAACTGGGGCCCTTGCAGTGTCTGCAGCTCTTAGTTCGTGTCCACCAACATAGGGCATAGCTTCCCCGTGGAGTCCAGGAGCCCACTGCAGCTGGAATGGCCCAGTGCGATGCTCCTTGTTCGCTGTGGGGAAGGATCGTGGGAGGTAGGAGTGCACACTGCTGCTCCTATCAGGCCTGGAACAGTAGCAGTTCCCCACCCTGAAGAAGCACCAGGCACAGGCCTGACCTGAAGACTGCCATGATGGCACACGCTCGTAAAGCTGGCATCTCAGTCACCTCTTCCTTCCTTTTCAGAGAATTGCACTGGCATTATCTGTCACCAACACTATGCTAAGAGGACATCAGAAGCCAGATTCAATGACAGCTGCCAGCTCATAGCCCTTGGGCCACTCACCTCTCCTATTTTCCAGAGCAGATTTCAAAACCCCTTTGTTATCCCTGGGTTTTGTTCCCAGGTGACCTCATTAAGTGGAGGCAGAGGAACCCGGTGGCTGGATGGCTTGGCGGAAAGGACTAAGACTGACTCTTTTGCTTGCTGCTCATCGGATTGTCCTTCCTTGGGTCAATTGTCAACCCATCCTGGGATCAGCTATAAAATGGGGATAAAAATTGCCCACCTCAAAGGACAAGTGTGATGCTGGTGTACATTGATGTGTACAAATAACCTCTCCAAACAGCCACTAAAAAGTGGTGACAAGGCCAGTTTCACTGAAGCAAACTGAGTGTGAGGTTAGAGGGGACCATGGCACTAACCTGACAAAGAGGCAGGTAAGCCAGGGGCATCTCATAGCACTAAGACCCACACTCGTGTTATAACACTGAGTATAGTGGTTATGAGGCTGTAATTTCAGTGCTGGAAATGTTGAGACATGAGGGTCCTTGGGATTCACAGGCCACCCAGCCGAGCCTACCCAAGTGAGTTCCAGGCCAATAAGAGACTTTGCTCCCTTCCTGGAAAAGGTAGATGGCACCTAAGGAACTACACTAAAAATTGTCATCTAAACTCTACACACATGCACACCTGTGCGCACACACACACAAACATAAACATACAGAGGGCCGAAGCAGACAAAGAAAAGGAAAAGAGACAGAAGGGGGTTGGGTTCTAACTCTAAGTATTCAAAGACTTCTCTGTCTTCATTCTGTCTGTCTTTTGTGTTCTGATAACTTCCTAAGAGTAAGTAGGCTAGGCCATCAGGGATTCAAGAACCAAGACAAGGTCTTTACAGGCAATGAGACCATGGCTGCTCCCCACCTACACACACACACACACACACACACATCCCAGGTATGAGGACAATGGCTGGCTCTCCTTTTCCTTCCTTGGAACAAGTGCAGCTCTGAGATTAGAGGACAAATCCAACTTCATAAGCTGATTGCCTTTTCTTTATTTCTGTGGGGCCGGAGATAAATGTCAAGGCAGTGTATGTGCAGTAAACACATGTCTCCTCAGCCACTCATCAATTTGATAGGCTTCAATAACAGACCATGACTTAAAGACCCTCAAGAGAGATTTCATCTGTAGGGAGGAGATCTAGCCCATGTGAAGTGGAGAGAACGCAGACAATTCTCACAGGTGAGGTGAACCATCACCCTCAAAGCCATCTAGCTCACAGGCTCCCTCCCCCTCACCTATATGTAGTCATTGGTCAAAGCCTGTTCAGTTTACTTCCAGTTCTGTTCTCTCACTGAGCCAACCTTCATGAGGCAGGATGGCTCCCCACTGTCTCATCCCCTTTATTTCTTCACCTGGAGTCCTGTCCTGTTCCTAACTAGAATTTGTCTTCTATTTATCTCCTTCTGGCCCCTCCTTCACACTTCTTCCAAGATCACCTTCTAAAGCTCAGATCAAGTGATGCTGCTTTCCACTGCCAGAACCCTCATGGCTTTCCAGTCCACGTGGGTTCTAGGCTCTTTATCAGCACTTCTTGGCCTCTCAGTATGAGATTCTCAGCTGCTCATCCACTGCAGCCTCCAGGAGCTGACTATGCACAAAGAAAAACACTGTCTCCTTCTCTACATTCCTATACACAGTCCTCACATATCTGATAAGAATATACTTCCTTCTGCTGCAAGGATATTCCTAGGATAAATGTTCACACATATTTTCACCCAGGAATTCCTCTCAACACCTAGCAAGTGTGTGCTCCCCATGATGCTAGAGAGATTGGCAATGACGGACCAGCTGGCTTGGGCATCCAGAGCTCTGGAGTTAAAGGGTTTGAGGAAGGTGATCCACACAGTTACAGTCCCCACTTCTCTGGTATTTCTCACTTCTGCTCCATATCCATCCTACATAAAACCCACTCAAGTGAGCCAAAGCACAGTCTTACATGAAAAATAGTTGGCATCATAACTGCCCAGAAAACACGCAACTGGTGGGTGTGTTTGAAAAAAATGAGATACTTTACACATCATACTGTTTGCTTTTTTTAAGTGCACATGCAATTCAGTGAATGTTAGCATGTTTATAGAGTTGTACATCTATCACTACTGTCTAAGTTGAGGGCATATTTATTATCCGTAGCCAGGGAGGGAGGGAAAGAGGGAAGGAGGGAGGAACAGAGAAAGAAAGGGAGAGAGATGGGGAGGGAATGAGAGAGAGAGAGAGAGAGAGAGAGAGAGAGAGAGAGAGAAGAAAACCCCTGTACCCACTGGCAGTTGTTTCCTATTTCCCCTCATCCTTTGGAAACTACTTATTTACTTTTGTCTCTATAGATTTCACTATTCTGGAAATTTCATAACAATAGAATCATATAATGTGTTATTGGGTGTGATACCTTTAACTTATATTTTAGTAGCACATTTAAGTACTTTCTGCTTTCTTAATTTCCACACAGATGTTCTGTTGTATGAATACAGTTTCCTTATCCATGCATCAGCTAACAGTCATCAATACTGCTTTCATATTTTGGCTCCAGAAAATAACATTGTAGCTGCATTTCACCCTCACCTGCAGGACTGGAGTTCTAGAACAGAGCCAAAAGGGACTTATTTCCAGCTCAAGAATCCGTTTGTTTTAAGTATCTTTGTTGGTCAACTTGACACAATCTATAGTCATCTCACATGAGAGGAGAGTCTCAGCTGAGGAACTGCTAGACTGTATTGACCTTTGGGCACATCTATGAAGGATCATCCTGACTATTGATCGGTGCAGGAGGGCTCAGCCCATTGTAGGTAGATGGTACCCTTCCCTAACTAGGTGTTCCTGCGTTATGTAAGGAAGTTAGGTAAGCATGAGTCTGCCTGGAAGCCAGCAAGGGGCAGTCTTCTATTGTCTCTGCCTCCAAGCATCTGCCCCTCAATACACTATAACCTGTATTAAATTCTACGTGGGGGCATGGTCACTGGGCACAGAAGTGAGGGAGAATGGACCAGTCCCAGACAAACCTACCTCCAGAAGTGATAGAAAAGCAGAGGAACATTGAGCCCCAGGGTGAGCCACTCCTGAGCACACAGGAACATGATGCAGAAGAGACTGTGGATAGAGTACTCTGGCAGCACCAGCTGGAGAGGAAGCAGAGACACAGGCAGGGTTAGAGGGAGGAAGTGCTCCTCCCACTCACTGTCCCCGTGCAAAGGTGCTCCCTGCAGCATGATCACTTCCCTGTGACTGATCACTTTGGGAAGTGCTCCATGTTTTAGACCCAATCCTGAGTAGGCACAGGATCTGGGCTGTTCGAAGAAACTAATAGTGTCCTGTGTCACCTTCCATCTGTTTGCACTATGTTGCTGGCTCCTCTGTGCCCTCTCCTAGCTAATAGGTATGTTTGTATCTAATACAGGAAGGTCAGGAGAACAGAAAGGCGATAGGCCGATCCAGAGGAGCACAAAAGAAAAGCCAGGTAGCAGTGGTGAAAACAGATCGTCTCTATGTGAAGGGAGAGGGTAAGTTCAGACTCCCTGGGAGACTCGGGGACAGGTGGAAGAAGACAGACACCCGTCCTGGGCAGGCACATATGGTATAAATGAAAACTGAAGCTAAAAGTCACTAGAAGGTAGACAGTCAACCCCTTCCATTAATTAAGGACAGCTATAGGTATGCAAACACACTTATGTGGGCAGAACACACACACACACACATGTATGCATGTATGGTCTGTGTATCTCACTTAGACCATTGTGATTGCTCCTGCCCAACAAACTGTGTCTTTTGAGGACAATTCTAAAGGAATCACAGCTCATCCTCTCCTGCTCCTCTCAGCCCCATACCTGATTTCTTTTATAAACTTACATCAAAAAAAGAAATACTTAAGTTTTAAGTCACTGACTGTAGTCCAGAAGGCAAAAATCTTATCATCTGTGTGTATACATGTGAGCATGCATGTACATACATGTGTGCCTGCATGCATGTTTGGAGATCAGAATACAATTTGTGAGAAACAGTTACCTCCTGCCATGTGGATAGAACTCTGGCTATCAGACTTAAGGGCAAATGTCTTTGCTGAGCCATCTCACCAACCCAACCCTGCCATAGCATGTTTTCCAACAGTCTATCCAGCCTATCTATATGGGCTTTTCTGCCACTGCCTGGCACACACACACACACGCACACACACACACACACTCCATAATCTGACTCAGCCAAGGTGTCTGTCCTATTCCAATATTCCTTTGCAATGGGCTTTGCATGTTGCCAATGCACGTGATCAATTGTGCTGTTCTGACCAATCATATATGTCTGTAGCATGGCATCTGTAGACTGTCCATGAGAAAGAGTCTGTGGTCATAGCGCTAGACTTCCATGGGTGGGAACAACTGCTTCAGGCCAATCTGCTTTGGTATAGAAGAACATAATGTTAGCCTTTCACTGTAAGCAGATGAGCTACCTGACCAGTTGGCCCCTGTAGAAGATAAGGACATATTCACAGATCAAATAAAAATAAATGAATGTACAGATATATGTGTGAGAGATGCATTTTGTAACTGGGGGTTGTCTTTGTTCTCGGCACCTGGTGAAGAAGAAACTGCTTTAACCTTCAGTTACTCAGGTTCAGCATGGACTTAGAACACAAGTGTCATCTCTCCAGGGTCATGACTTCAGAGGATGAACGAGGCACTGCCTGTGCCTATGAATCTCAACCACAGAGGACATGTTCCATCATTTCTCTTTAGAGAACCTCCAAGCTGTGTTTGGCAGCTTCCTCTGTACCCAGGCAGGGCATCACCCGGCCACTTCCCATGCGTAGGGCAAGCCCGCGTTCTCAGCTGGCACAGCAGCCCTTCGGCCACACTCGTCTGTACATTTGCATCCATCACTTCCAAGCCAAGTAATTAACGTGCTCAGAGACAGCGACCACGGGCCTGAATCAGCCATGACAACTCCATCCCCTTCTCCAGTGCCAGCATCAAACCTCTGAATTATGACAATTCAGAATCCATGCCCTCTATCCATTACACAGCTCCTTGTTCTCTGGCGCTTGGTAGATAACGGAAGCGGTGACTGACAGGGAAGATCTATTACCATCCTCTGTGTGGAGGAAAACACTTAGCAGAGGCTGGCTCACATTTTAGGGCTGAAGGGAAAGCCTCCTGCTGTTCTGTGGGGGTCTCCCCACTACCTCTTAGTATCTAAGATACTGAGCAGACTAGTCCCTTAACCCCAGGAGACTTCAAGTGGCTGCAGTGCCCTTGTGGTATATTTACTGTGCCTCCTCTTTCTCCAGGCATCCCTTGTCATAGTGATGTAAACAATGTAGGGGCTATTCCTCTCAGACCAGAGGGAACTTAGCCAGGCACCCACACTGGCCTGTACCATGCCCCTCCCTAGGCCATCCACACCTTTCCACTACGTTGCCTTTGGAATATGAGACATCATGTCCCAGATCCCAGCAGGTGGGAGGGGACCCATGGGCCACGAGTGGAAACTATATGAGAAGCCCAGAACACTTAGCAGTCAATGAAAAATGCCCCAAAGTCCTATTTTGTTTCCTGTGACATTGCAAAGACCAGTTATAACAACGGGCATACTTCATCATCCTGACACCAGAAGTGAAGAGAGAGCCCCCCAGGCAACCTGTGATGGGCAGAGTAAGGGCAAGCCATAAACTTCTGTTGTTCTGAGCGACTGAGAGTCACGTGTTCCTTCTTGCTATGACACACTTTGGTCCATCTTGTCTGATGCAATCAGCACTGCAGAATGAGAAACCAATGAGAAAAGCAAAGCTGTGTTCTTCTCTCTTCATCCTCCTGAGCATCCTTCCAGACCTTTGTTTAATAAGCCACCGAGGCTGGTATGACATGCTCCTCTTGCTGGCCACATGAGCACCAGGTGAAAGGCCACCAAACAGGCACAATGCTTATTCATTCTGGTAGGTAGCCAGCTGGGTTGTTCCCAGCTCAGAGAGAATAACTGGTGTAGAAAGATGCCCCACACTTGAACCTAACAGAGAAAGTATAGAAGAGTAGATTGAAACTCTGACCATGCCCATGGCTAGTGTCACCCCTTATCACTGGCAGACACTTGTTTCCTGTAACCGAGCTGTTGAATGATACCAGTACCTGTGATTCACTGAATGAATTATAAATAGACACTACTTCATGTAGGTCACAGTCTGAGACCCTGTGTCCTGCTTTCTGTAGCTATAAATAGTAAGAGTGTTCTCACTATAGACATTGTGGGGTTCTAAAAAGATACCAGTTAAAGCTAGGCTTGCCTACACACACCTGTGATCCTCAGCTAATGGGACAGGCTACATGGTGAGAACTGGGCCCCCAAAAAACAAAACCTAACAAACAATACCTGCCAACTTGAGAGTAGCTGAAGGCTTTGTGATTAAGGCAGAACCACTGTTAAGGAAAAATAAATCTAAATATGCATGGGAAAGTTGGCATTCCATAAGACAGGGCTAGCAAACCCAGAGGGGCTGAGGAGGTCGCTCAGTGCTTACAGCACTTGCTGGGCACGCATACATGAGGACTAGGGCTTGGATCCCCAGAAATCCACATAAATATCAGTGGCTGTCCCACCTATAGTTCCAGCCTCCGAAGGAGGAGGCAGGGGCTCTTTAGAGCTAGCTAGGCAACAAGAGCAGCCATAAAGGGCAACCTCTGGATTTTGTTGAAAGATCCTGCCTTCATGACTGACTGAGAAGGAAGAGTGACTGAGGGAGATCTCTGCCATCAACCTTGGCTTTCATCACACACTCATACATGCATGGACATGTGTGCACGCACATTTGCCCATACACATGTACACATGCATATTTACACTCATACCTCTGTCACACACACACACACACAGAGAGAGAGAGAGAGAGAGAGAGAGAGAGAGAGAGAGAGAGAGAGAGAGAGAGAGAGCGCGCCAATAACAATAAAACAAAAAACTCACTATCCTGGGTACCCCTCTCACAAGCCACCAAATAGGCCACTTATTTAAGAGTGTATAGGGCAGGCCTGAGGCCGGCCAGGACTGGGGTACCTGCCAAGCCTGTTACACTTCTGACTTACTGCCCAGATTCTAGTAGGTCAGTTTCTGTTTGCTGGCAAATATCCCCATCTGGATATTCCTGAATCCTCACGTTCCCCTGGTCCCTGCAAACCTCTCCAGAGCCTCTAGTTTGTCCTAACAACGGCGCCTCTGCTTCCTCTTTCTCATCAGCCTGCCTGGGGACTCTACAAATCTGACATGGTCATTTCTACGGGGCACTTTGATCTGCTCTTGTTTTCCATTTCTACTGCCCCCTACAGGTCAGGGCCCCTGTTGCGCCCCCAAAGTTAGTGCAAGAACTGTGTGTGCTGGCAGTCAGGACCCCTCTGTCCAGCAGAGACATATCTCCTTTCTCTGGTATCTGCCATGCATGGCTGAGTTCTAAGCTTTCATTGACCCACATCCTTGCTTTCCCAGAAATTTTAAAAATTAAATTTATTTTTTGTCCATCAAAATATGTAAACTTTTATTGGTAACTAAGGAAAGCATTAAGTACTTGGTTTTAGCAATCTCGAGCATCTAAAATATATTGTATAAAAATCAATACCAAAGCAGATTAAAATTATAATCTAGAATTTAAAACTCTTATTTTAATCAGTTTTTTTCTTGATCAAATGTGTTCCTAGATAATAACACACATGCACACAGTGCTAGATTGTGGGAGGGAAGGAATCATTGTCTCCTTTTAAACAAGATTTAAGTTTATTTTTATTTGTGGTCTAAATTTTTTCCCTGCCACTGCGGCTTCTCACTCATCTGTGTGACTAACCATTTGCTGCCAGGACACAGGCATCTTGGAAGAATAATGGCACATGACAGTTTGGGGTTTCTCTTCAATGTGCTGGTAGAGAAGGGCAGTGTGTATAGGAGGAGAGACTTTTCTTAGCCTCACAGGAAGAGGAAGTAGAGAGTAGATGTCTATATCCTATATTCGAAGTGCAGAAGTAATATGTTTGGGATGAGGGGCCCCCCAGGGCTCGGGAATGGGGTGGATAGTGAGAGGTAGGCAATCCACATGAGTCCCATGAAGGCAGGATTTCTGGAAGGAGGTATATACACATGTGTGTGTATACACATG